ATCCGAATTCGCCTGGCCATACATATCTTTACTTTTGGTTACCTTTGCCATCACACCTTCACACTTGCAATGTAATGGCAGAGATAGCAACGCTTCGTTTAGCGACAACGTGTGCTTTTTTTAAATAAAAATTGTACATGTTCGTCTGTTCGAAACGGAACTCAGCACCTTGAAATTCCGGTTCTCCGTCCGTTGACACTGAATTTTTGAACACCTTGCCCATTGCCACTTTTAGAGGATAATCACACGAAAAAAACTGCGCAAAACAAGGTGTACACTGTACACTGTACAGACATTAAATTTATTTGTATTCTGTGTTTGGAGTTGCAATGGGTATTTTATTTGTTATTTTTCGGTTTTTGTGCCCATAACCTTTTCACCGTTTGTTCGTCGTTATAAATGACGTTTGAGATGGAGAGAAAGAACAAATCGTGGTGCATTTGTGGAATCTCACACATGAACACGGTATGCATAGCGGTAGGAAATCAAAAATTGTAATGGCATTACACATGCATGCACTCTTATCATATTATTTATACGTGCTTACGACGTGTAATGAATTCTAATTTTCATCCGACAAATACGAGTAACGTATCTATCAAAATTTGTACGTATTTCGGTGTACTGCAGCAGCAGTAGCAGTAGCGCATGAGATCCGGTGGCATCGCTGCCACTGTCGTCGGTTATAGTATCGTCATCTTGAGTGGAGTACAAAACAGGAACGTTATGATTTTAAGCACTACATGAAATGTTGGTGCAATTGTTGTGAGTGGATTCCATTTTTTCGTTTTATCACATTTTTAAGACATTTTTTGGAGTCGAAGAAACTTCCTATTCCATACTTAAATTAATCATCAAAATTGAAGCAATATTAAATTATTGTAATTTTCTTCCCATGTTTCTGTCCCTGGATTTCATATAGTGCATATGAGGCTTATGCCGCAAAAGCGGCACTTCACTCCGTTGCACGCAAAATATGCATATCCTATTGTTGCGTTTCGAATTTTTTTTTCTAGCCGTGATTACAACAACAACAACAACATGTTTCTTGGCTAAAGTTTGCTTCTTATTCTCAAGGATTCATATATATTTTCTAATCCGTTGCGAAGCAACCCACTAACAATAAAATCTCAAAATACAAAAGAGAGCAAAATGGAGCGAAGCGAAGTGTCGATGTATTGTATTTCTTGTTGTTGCTGTTGTCATTCTCTCTGTACATCTTTTTTGCTCGTAACGTTGTTTTCGCCGAAAATCCCTGCATCCATGTTGTCTTTTGCCGATGATTTTTTTTTTGTATCATTGAAATATTCTTTGTCTTTTCCGCTACAATCTTCTTCTTTTTGCCGTCGTTTCGTTCCTCTACATTCCTTCAGCTCCAAAATAAATTGATATAAAGACAACAGCGGAAAGAAGTTTGTGTTATACTAAGCATAAAATACACATAGACATAGAATAACCGCAGCAGTATGCCGCTTATGTAGGGAAAAAGGGGAAAACGGAGAGGATAAACGGAAGAAGCATTTTAGTAATCTACAATTCCAGCGTTTTATGTCATTTCACTACTTTCATCCATGCTTCAGGTAACTTTATGACGAGTTTTTGTTGTTCTTGTTGTTGTCATTCTACGGATTTTTAGAATAGACATAATCTATTCGGCGCATATGTTTGAAGTATACAAACATATACTGGTATTGGTAGTGAGGCATCAGCATCAACATCAGTGTTGCTGCCATCGCCGAGCACAAATTCAAGTATATGTATAATCCAACTCATATTATTATTAGCTACAAAGTGGCTTGGCTTACCATGATTCCTGATTGAATCACACTAGTCGAAAGAAATGGCAGAACATGACACAACACCAACGCCAACGACAACGCCAACAACAACAGCTACATCATCTTTATCATTACCATCAACTACTGAAAATGTTAAATGCACGGGTACATTGTACAATCCTTTCCCTAGCCTCCACCCTCGAATTCTGTCTCTTTCTGTGTGCTTATGCCGAAAATACCGTTTTTTGCCTCTCGTTTTGTTGATGAAAAGTTTTCAGTTTAATTTCTCCCATTCATTCGCTCTCTCGGTCGAGTTTTCCATCACTTTTTGGATATTTGTACGTGCATATAGCGTTTTACTTTGCCACCTTCACCCACCGTAATAAGTTTGAGGCAGCAATTTTTTTTTAATAAGCTAAATTTTCGAGATTGCTCTTTGTCTTTGGTGCTACGCACCACTTGAAGCTTACAAAACCATCAATGCACGGATTATCCGGTATTTTCGATTGACTGTGTGTCACTAAACTACGTCTATCTTGATCTCGCTTTGACTATTTAATATTTTAAACAAAAAGTTAGATTCACGCTGATATGTTCACTGAACAATGCGATTTAACATTCGCCTGATTTACTTTGAATCTTTGTGTAATTCAAACCGATTTCGGTTCATTTTATCAGCCAGTGGCAAAATGCCGTGTCAAATGCAATATCTTCCCTATTCGCACATCAAATCAAAGTTTCGGGCTAAAAAAAATTATGTTTCGTTCGATTGAACTTGTCAGATGGATAGGAAAACACACACACACACACACACACCAAACTCAATTGAATAAGTCTATAAAATGAGTCGGTATGAGAGTTAATGAGAGTCTTTGTCTTGAGTTAAATTCATTTTCCCACCAATTGAATGGATCAGCTCACATTTGCGAAAAGTTTAAACGTTTTACAATTGTGGCTGATGGTGGTGGCGGTGTCGTCGGTGACAGTGGAGGAGACAATCTGAGATGGGGTATCGATCGCATCTGAACAAGAAGACAAATCAATTATAAAATGACATCATCATTAATGTTTTGTGTTTATATGCAAGTATGATTATTACAGTTTTCACGTTGATATGTCGCCGTCATCATATTATATTATTGTCATCCGTCATGTTAACACTCGTTGTGTGTGGTGTATATCTCTTGCTTTGCTCGCAATTTCTTGAAATACACGAAATTCACCCAAAAACACACACACACACACATGCATATATACTATCGCGCTCCATTCTCTACTCTTGCTCTTATTCATCCTTCCACTCTCTTTCGCTCTCTCACCCGCTCATTGTTGAATACAACAGTGGAGACGAATGTGAAATCAGCACTTATTGCTTTGTAATGATCTGCGGAATTCGATGCAGACATTAGACAATTATTCGCACACTAAATTCGAATGCATTCCAAACGGAGCGTAGAATGCACGTTAATCAGATATGAAAGAGAGAAACTGACTGACGATGTCATTAGTCCCATTGTTTCAAATAATTTCATTACATAATTGGTTCTTCGCTCTATCATACACTCATTGGGTTGTGCTGTTGTCGTACGAGCATCTCACCGTTTATTCGGAATAGGTGAATTCCGTTCCCTCGGTATATTGGTATATTGCTCAATTGCGATTGCGGCTTATATATAAATCCAAGCGCTTACGCTCACCCACATACGCACACACAATTCGAAAATATGTCATCTCAAAGTCTAAATTGGTGTAAATACAACAATTTATCTCATGCTCTGGTGACGTTTCGATATTATTGCCAGATTTGTTCGGTTTCGAAGTTAGGGAAACACATATAGATTCCAAAATGCCAACAGCTAGATAATATTCAACTGAGTGCACTTGGGTGTGAAATACCGATGACTACTGAAATTTATCAGTATTAATCGTAAAATTTCATTTCGCTCGTAATGATGTAGCTAATGTGAATGCATACACTCAATGACAAAGTTTTCTTCGAAATCGCTTTCAGATTTTGCCCTTTATATTTGTGTCTCTGTTTCTATGTATCTCTCTTTTATTTTCGTTTTCGTTCTCTCGTTCTTCTCTCGTTTCGAGTCATCGATGCAAACGATGGGTTTAGAATTTGTCGGTAGCGACAAGTGATGCAGGGCACTGACTCAAACGGAATATGTAAATCATGGAAACTTGTCTGAAATGCAAAAAGCTAAATCGCAAGCGGAAAACTACCTACAAAATGCTTGTACGGAGATTGTGTAGTACCATGTGTAAGGTAGACATTATCTCCGTTTGCGAATTTATTGCTGCTCGATTAGGATGAAGTAGTGTGCATCACCACTATTGCTATGCTTGTCCCAGTGTCCGAACAGTTACATCGCATTCCGTCTTTGCCGAAACGATAATTATGTTACACATGTAAATGTCAACGGATGAAAAGCATACGATCACGATGCTGCTTGATGTAGTTCAATGAACGCATCATCGGAAAATCGGTTTTGTTTGTTGCGAGCAGTAAAATTTTCCGCAAAATTGCGCACAAAATTAACTCACAAAATGAAATACCATTCAATGTGATGTGACATGATTGAATCGATGGGGGAGCTTGTTTTTATTGTTGATCTAGTTTGGTTTTCTAGAGCAGGTGCATTAACAAAGCTGTGTTCTCTTCTCCCTGTAATGTTTGCAAATGGTGAATACTTGTACTGCACGCGCTTCAAAATGAACAAGAAATGGCAGTGTCGTAATACAGTTCTTTGAAGTATTGCTGCGCACAAGTAGACGCATATATTCACTGAACTGTTTTGAGTTACATGCTCTTACGCTTGCTTCCGATCTTCCTCTCTCTCTAACTCTTTTTTTTTTTGCTTTTGGCGTTCGTGCAAACACACTCACACTCATCGACTTTATCTATATTTGCGTAGTCTACGACGACTCATGATGTCGACGGCAAAAGCATCGTAGCTGAGTGCATTTTCTATTTCACAACTGTTCATGGAAAACTAAGTACATACTAGACGACTGCATGAGTATAGTATAAAAACGAGTCGATTAATGCTTAACACCCGAGAATATATTTTAACAACCAAAATAGTAGTTAGAAGAATTTGCTGAGAACACACAGCGGGTGTAGACAAGAGCCTTTAGAACATTAAACGAATCTATAAACCACTTACTTATTGCATTTTTTTCTCTCTTTCTCTCTTTTTTCTCTTCCACTAACAGAGATTGTAGAGTCGTAAGAGATCCTCAGACAATGAAATCAAAAGGTTACGGATTTGTATCATTTGTAAAGAAAACGGTAAGTACAATAAACGCCATGTTAGATTTTTATTTGAGACGGTGCTTCCTCGTTTTCTTTTTGCCAGTGTGACTGTAGTTGTTGGTGTGTTTAAGCTCTCTTCCTTTTATTTTTGGTTGAGTCTTAATTTTCTGCATTTTCGGTGCGGTCGCATTGGCAGAGAAAGAAAAAAAGACGAAGCGTGGCTGCTTTCCAACAACATTTCTAAGTTGCTGGCCAAACATTTAACAAGCACGGCAAACAATGGTGTAGACGGTTTTCATTGGAACCGTTTCGGTGAAAGACGTTTAAGTCTTATCCTCTGTGACACTATCGTTCATTGTTGCACATGTTGAGTGGTGTATGTATCATGGACGCTGAATGTGTGAATAATGGGCAACCAGTAAAACGGCCTTCTTTTCTATTGAGTTTGCAATTTTCTTTTGTCACAGTTTGCCGGACTAACTGTACTGCTCTGATTAAATTGCATTTTATGGTTGAAAAAATTTCCTTTTGATTATCTGTGCGATCGGATACCGGTTACACAGATATTTATTACAAAGGACATTGCAAGTTTGTCTAAAAAAAAAACCATTGAATTATGGTGTACACGATTTCTATATGGTTTCCATTCGTTCGACACATGTACGCTTTTGCCATGCACATAAAATTTAACCAAACAATCGAAAGACGAACCAAGCAGAAATGGGGGGAAAAAACGTCGATACGTCTGTTCGTGTATTTTTTTTCTCGTTCTTTTTGTTTTTCGGGTTTGAGATAGACTTCGTGCGCCTGATTGTTATTTTTACTCCACCAACTCAATCAGTCGCTTTGATGCTATCCAAAATAAGGTCGAAAGATTATTTGTGCTGACTAAAGATTAAATGCGCTGTTATTTTTATTTTTTTATTTATTTGGTGAGTGTTTTGTGTCGATTGGCACGATGATCGGCAATAGTGCTTCGACCAGTAATGTGCTACGCTCAAAATGTTTACTACGATTTGCTCAATTATCAGTGACGATGAGTAAATCGCTCCATTACTCACAGTAAATAAAATCCCAACCATTACAAACGGCTTTTCGAAGCAATCAAAACACCAATTAATCATTTGCCAAGGCAATGGCGCTTCCCCTACAAACTCTGAACCGAATAAAAAAAACAACAACAACCCAGAACATTCTATCTGACCATTGTTTTTCCAATGAATGTAAACAATAACAAACAGTAAGAATAACAATGACAATCGATGTTCAATCAGAAATAAAACAAGTCCTGCTTTTATTTCAACTGTTTGATCATTAAAAAATTCATTTGCCACAATGTTCTATTGTGTAAAAATGTATTTGCGCTGCATTCACGTGGTTAAGCTTTAGTACAATTCTTTGTTATGCTTTGGTGCACTTTTCGTCCAGCATTGTTTTCGAAGTAAATAAATCGGAAAAAGAGCCACATTCACTAGAGGGAAAAGGGAGTTCCGAGTACGAGTGACTCGAATGGTTTTGCGCGTGCATCATCGCGGGTGTATCCGATTATATTCCATTTCTTTTGCAATTCGACCGCGGGACGAACGTTAGAAATGCAACCCATTTTTTTCATTGTTCTTTACAGTCAGAACGGGAGAGAAATGGAGCCGAATAGAAAAAAATTGTGCAATTACTTCGTCGCAGATGAAAATTTCAAGAAAATAACAAAAACATTGTATTGAATCGATCGAATCAGAGTGGATCGCACTCTCTCTCTCTCTCTCTCTCTCTCTGTGTGTGTGTGTGTCCATCTCTTTCGGTCTTTCCAATTTTATCGTTGTTGTTTCACTTTGAATTTGGTGCACCAAACGTGTGTAATGGCTTGTGGGCAATGTGAGCTGCTGTATTGACGGCAGTGAAATATAAACTCAATTACTGAACACATTACCAAAGCATCTGGCCAATGGAACATGACTCAACGAAACGACACAAGGAATCTAACGAACGAAAATGGAAAAAAAATTCGTACCCATACCGATTACTCTGTCAGAAAAAGAGCTAGAGAGAGAAAGAAAAAGAAGGAGGAACAGCCGACAAAAACCGATTTTCATGGATTCATTCAAGAGTTTTATACACTTATTGACAGCAAAATTTCATCAGTTATTTAATTTATTGGGGATCGTGGAACTGAAGCACAAATGCACCGGCCAAATGGCCGTCAATTATTCGAATCTGAACACAATGCACACTGCACAACTTCAAGTGAGCACGGACAGTGCAAATATGAGAGCGGACGTGTTGTCATTACGCACAAAACGCGAAATAGCCGTTTAATTAATGCGTTAGACATTTTCAAATAAGGCTGAAAGAAAAATGACCAAAAAAGCGCATTCACCAATCATTGCAGCATTGATCGCCCGTCGCTTGTAATTTTATCTTTCACTGTTGCTCGGACCTTTGAGACGGTCGTTTTTCTTTTAACTTTTTGTCGTTCTTTCCACCGCTTTTCCCATTTATTCCTCCCAATTAAGATTTTGGTTTGGATGTTGTCGTCGTGGTTGTGCGTATGCATCGGTGTGTTGAATGTCGAAAATTGAAAATTCGTTTGTGTGTGTGTGCGTGTTGTAACTTCTCTCGAACGAAGCTTCTAAACTATAAAAATTGCATTTGCATGCATCTGAAAGTGGCAGATGCAGACAGGCGTCACGTTATGTTCGTGCATTGTACAGCATCAGTCATACATTTCGAAATGCAATGCGAGGAGAGACAGAGACAGAGAGACAGCCACAGACATTTTTGTACGCTGAGCAAAGTAGGAGTGAAAGACTGAAAGAGACTGTGAACGCGAATGAGACGTTGCGACATTGCGAATAATTGTGTCGTGGCATCGTCGAATGGCATTGGAAAAGCGATAACGATAGCGATTATGGGAACAATACAATCCGAATCATTTGTCTTAATATTTAGCCAAGCGGAAAATAATTTTCATTTAAGATATTAAACGAGTAGTGCATTTTCGGTTGAGTATCAAATTAAATCTATTCGCGTTACCTATTTTCTTATATTCCAATTATTCTTCCTTCGCCGCTTCTTCGCTTGCACGTTCACCAGCGTTTTATCTCTGTTTAATCATAATAGCCGGAAAAATGCAACTCCCTCTCCCCTGTTCTAATGGCAAAGTTGAGGTAACATTTTATATTAAATTAAATACAAGAATGAAAAAAAAGAGAAAACGGAAGCGACAGCCAGTTAATGGAGAAAATGAAAATGGGATTACAGTTTTGATAGTGCGCGGAGCCGCGACGGCACGAGCATGATAGTGTATGATGGACAGACACAACTAGAATGAGATCCAGCCACTATTAATATCTTGTCGACGACAGTGTGGCTGTTGCTGAGCAGTACACCGTCAAGCAGTGAAATCTGAATAATTTTTTTTGACATTCGCGGCTAACGAATTCAAACCGCACTCACCAAAGCCATTCTCATTTCATTTCGTTTCGTTTCCATATCTGAATGTCACCCATAATCCTCCCAACATGAGACGTGGTCACCACGGGAGCAAAATATAACCATCAGATTTGTGCAACTAAATTGATGCCACTTTTCACAAGTTTCCCTTTGAAATGAGAAGTTTGCACTCGTTACGATTAAAATTTAGAATGCGATACGACAATCCAATGAATCACATCCTTTCAGAAACAATTTCACCGTCTTGAAGTCAAGCAAACAAGAGTAAAAAGTCATAAATAAGGAAAGTACAAAAAGAAGCAAGGGAAACGAAGCGTACGCTAACGCACACCGCAGAAGGAAAAAGAATGAAAGAGAACAGTTACCCAAATTGAGAAACCCACAAATTTTTGAAACAAGAAGAAAAGTTCACATCACAGAAAATCACATACATTCAAAGGGAAAAACGGTTGGAAAACCGAGCAAATTTGATAAAGAGAGAAAAGTCTATAACTCCTTAACCTACAATTGTCGCAGATTATGTGCGGAGTAAACTTTTCAACGACCCGAATAAAGAAGTGGAAAAAAACAAAGACAATTTCACAAAAATTTTCGAATGCCCGCAAAAGAACCGACTGAGAAGGAAGGGGAAAAAACAGTCAGCAGCAGTAGCGACAGTAGCAGCATGCAGTCCAATAAAAAGGAAAACACTGCCACCACGAGCGAATACATACCGTACGTACACACATATAATCAAAGAGTAAAGAATTTAAGAAAATTTAAATTTTCTTCCACGATAAATGAAAAAGAAAAAGTACGTTAAAGAAGCGGCATCGCTGCTTTTGCAGGGATTTCGTCTTTTATTTGTTGTTCGTTCGCTTACTGGTTTTTCGGTCGAAAGAGGAAGCCTCTCGCGATCTATCCGATTACAGAATGTATATACGATTCTTTCCACTTTACGCTTATGTACCATATAACCTCTGTTGGCCACGAACAACTATTTTAATTCGATGCTTTTTCTGCCGTCTTTTTTTTGGCAATAGGACATTTCGCAATCTCATTCTTTGGCTCAAAGCAAAAAGTATTCTTGCATAAAAGTCGGTATGAGCTTGTACATGTGTGTTTGTGCCCTGGCGTATATATATAAATGTGTGTGTGTGTGTGTGCATGTTTCGATGGAGCTAAGCTAATCAAAAAGTTTGCTCAAACATTTTCTACACCACAAATGTAAGAGCCGCTTGCATACGTACAGGGCATCGTCCGCTTTTTTCTCTGTGGCATCGTGTTAAATGCGGTTTCTGCAATTCTTTTTCACTGCCAGCGGTTAGACGAGAAGAAAAAACACGAAAATATTGACCAAAATACACGAATAGATAATAAGATATTAAAAAACTATTGCAACCAATTCACGTTGAATTCAAAGTTTTACAAATGGCCCAAGAATTTTACGGTGCATTTCGTCTCTTTATCCGCTCGCTTTCTTTCGTCATTGAAATTATCCATAGAAAAAGTTTGGCGAGCTCCTTTATAGCATGTTGTTGCTGCGAATGTGCCGTAAATGCTAATATTGAAATGAGCAAGGGAGCAATGAGCAGTACACCGAGAGA